TCGAAATCTTGAAAAATAAGCAGTATACACAGTATTCTCAGAATTAGCCGTCTGCGTGGATACCACACCCACTCGCGGGAAAACTGCCGTCTCTATCAACTGTCAAAAACCGCTACAAGTAAATACAATAAGGTATCGAAATCTTGAAAAATAAGCAGTATACACAGTATTCTCAGAATTCGCCGTCTGCGCTGATAATACGCCCACTCGCAGGAAAACTGCGGTCTCTATCAACTGTCAAAAACCGCTACAAGTAAATACAATAAGGTATCGAAATCTTGAAAAATAAGCAGTATACACAGTATTCTCAGAATTCGCCGTCTGCGCTGATAATACGCCCACTCGCAGGAAAACTGCGGTCTCTATCAACTGTCAAAAACCGCTACAAGTAAATACAATAAGGTATCGAAATCTTGAAAAATAAGCAGTATACACAGTATTCTCAGAATTCGCAGTCTGCACTGATACCACGCCCACTCGCGGGAAAACTGCCGTCTCTATCAACTGTCAAATACCGCTACAAGTAAATACAATAAGGTATCGAAATCTTGAAAAACTTATTTCGCGTTAAACAGGTTGTTTGGGAAAATCGGTGCATGAAATAGCCTAAAGCTGATCTTAATTTTTATTGATGACTGCAGTGTTAACAATTTTAATTGTAGGCCTATAATTCATTGTATAAATGAATAGACATGTTTTTTTTTTTTTACATTTTCAGTGAGGAGTAAGTTAATCTTATAGTAATGCAGTATAAAAAATTATTGCGGGGCAAATTAATTGTAATTTAATAATAATAGGAACCTATTAATCATAATAGTCCTAATAATAAGAAGAAGGTAACAGGCCTACATTAATTGGAAATGCTAAATCCTCTTAATATTGCCAATATTGCCAATATCTCTGGCAATAGTCGACACATGATACGACGATGCAACTCTGCACCTGGAGGTTATTGCGGGGCCCCTAACACAGGTGGGTGTGTTCGACTTGAAGCAGTGCTGCGCAGAACGATAAGTGTGTGACAACAAAGTAGCGCGAGAGTGATTCGACAGCATAAGGAGTGTCTGCTCTCTATAGCTCTCACTGTACTTTGATGTCACACACCGATCGGACTGGGCAGCGCTTCTTCAAGTCAAACACACCTCTAGTGTTAGGCGAGGGGCCATGCTCGGTGGCTCCAGTGCATCATCGAGACATGATTTCAGCCCCACCCAAAAAATCTTGAACTTAAAAATTGTGAAAAACTATTTAACGGTCTAACTGCATAACACAAATCAGTACTACATAGTTTACAGTCTTTGTGTTTTCCGCAAAACATTTCTAACATTTAGAATTTGTTTAGAAACAATTCTCGGAATTGCCTTTTCACAGACTTTAAGTGTGATATTTAACCTTCACTTTTTGTGCAACCACATCCTTGATTTCAGGGCTGACCAGCGCATGGTGCTCCACCCACTGCAGTGAAAATGCTGGATCCAAGACAGCTGCTTTTAGATAGACTGGGTCTGAAAATGGTGCGGAGGTTTCGTCTTTCGCACTTGCCATTTTCACACTGATGAATATTTCAAGGAATCTTTTGACGAGGGATGCTTGCAAACTTCTGACTAGGTCACTTAAGAAGCAGACCTGTGACTTCAGCTTCTCCAAGTGGTGATTTAGAGCAAGAACAGCACTGATGGTGATCCACTGATGTCCACCACCTCCTTCAACTGATTCCACTCCCTTGATGTGAACAACAACTCCTTATGTCCAGACTTTTCCAGAACACCACAGACCTTTGGATGATCACATTCTGTTAGTGCTTGTACCTGTCTCAGTGTTGAGTTCCATCTTGTGTTCACAGCAGCTGGAATGCTCTTCTCTCCAAATTCAGACTGAAAGACTTCTTTGAATGTTGTGCTTGTGTGAAGCAATGAGCTGATTTTGGACAGTTTTGAGAGAGCACGTGAAATTGCATTTGTTTCTTTTAAAACGTCACCCACCACCAGCTGGAGAGTGTGGGCAAAGCACTGAAGACGCTGTTTTCTTGCAATAGCAGCATCCATGGATTGCTGCTCCTCTGGGCTAAGGTCATTCCAGATCTGTGGATCATCAAGTTGGTCCTCATCATGTATGTCTTGTTCTTGTTCAGTGGGGAAGCACACAGTGAAGGCCTTCTTCATGTTGTCTGCATTATCACTAATAATATACTCTAATTTATCTTTAATGTTAAAATCATCACAGATTGACTCAAATTGCTCACTTATTCTTTCAGCGGTGTGTGGGCCTTTGAAATGGTTGCAAGCCAATAAACTGGAGTTAAGTTTGATCTTCTCATCAGTTGTCTGAATAAAGTGTGCAGTTACACCAAGAAACCCTCTCATTTTTCTATCGGACCAAATATCCACTGTGCCAGACACATTTTGTGTGTTCCTTAACACAGTTTTTAGCTTATTGCATCGCTCCTCAGCAAGGTTTTCTACTTTTGAGGTCATTGTTCTCCAACACACTGGAGCATACTTATGGTCAACCACTGAGAGAAAGTGCCGGAAACTCTTGTTTTCCACAATGGACAGAGGTAGGTTGCAATCAATAACTAAATCAGACAGTATTGAATTAGTTATAGCTCTTTGTTGTTGGTGACTGGCACTGTACTGCCCAACATGGGTTTCCATGAACTCTGAGACTGAAGGTTGCTGTGGATCATTTGGGGTGTTTTTGTTCATCTGATATTCTTCAAACCTGTCATGATAAAGATAATACAAAGCAGAGATTATATAAAAAAGGGTTGGTCGGATCGATCCTAAAGTATCGATACTTTCGATACTGATGTTGTATCGAATGGATCGATCCTCACATAAAAATATCAATTCTAAAGTGCATTTTTTAACCATTAATTTTATTTATTTATCAAGAAATTCGGTGCTAAATCCTCTTAATATTGCCAATATTTGATGCGTTTGACAATATCTCTGGCAATAGTCGACACATGATACGACAACGCAACTCAGCACCTGGAGGTTATTGCGGGGCCCCTAACACGGTTGGGTGTGTTCGACTTGAAGCAGCACTGCGCAGAACGATCAGTGTGTGACAACAAAGCAGCGTGATAGCGATTCGACAGCATAAGGAGCGTCTGCTCTCTATAGCTCTCACTGTACTTTGATGTCACACACTGATCGGACTGGGCAGCGCTTCTTCAAGTCGAACACACCTCTAGTGTTAGGCGAGGGGCCATGCTCGGTGGCTCCAGTGCATCATCGAGATTCGAGACATGATTTCAGCCCCGCTCAAAATTCATAAAAATGGTGAAAACCTATTTAACGGTCTAACTGCATAACACAAATCAATACTGCATAGTTTACAGTCTTTGTAACGTGCTTTCTGCAAAACATTTCTAACATTTAGAATTTGTTTAGAAACAATTCTCGGAATTGCCTTTACACAGACTTTAAGTGTGATATTTACCCTTCACTTTTTGTGCAACCACATAAATCCTTGATTTCAGGACTGACCAGCACATGGTGCTCCATCCACTGCAGTGAAAACGCTGGATCCAAGACAGCCGCTTTTAGATAGACTGGGTCTGAAAATGGTACAGGGGTTTCGTCTTTAGCACTTGCCATTTTCACACTGATGAATATTTCAAGGAATCTTTTGACGAGGGATGCTTGCAAACTTCTGACTAGGTCACTTAAGAAGCAGACCTGTGACTTCAGCTTCTCCAAGTGGTGATTTAGAGCAAGAACCAATGGAACAACAGCACTGATGGTGATCCACTGACGTCCACCACCTCCTTCAACTTATTCCACTCCCTTGATGTGAACAACAGCTCCTTATGTCCACACTTTTCCAGAACACCACTGACCTTTGGATGATCACATTCTATTAGTGCTTGTACCTGTCTCAGTGTTGAGTTCCATCTTGTGTTCACAGCAGCTGGAATGCTCTTCTCTCCAAATTCAGACTGAAAGACTTCTTTGAATGTTGTGCTTGTGTGAAGCAATGAGCTGATTTTGGACAGTTTTGAGAGAGCACGTGAAATTGCATTTGTTTCTTTTAAACCGTCACCCACCACCAGCTGGAGAGTGTGGGCAAAGCACTGAAGACGCTGTTTTCTTGCAATAGCAGCATCCAAGGATTGCTGCTCCTCTGGGCTTAGGTCATTCCAGATCTGTGGATCATCAAGTTGGTCCTCATCATGTATGTCTTGTTCTTGTTCAGTGGGGAAGCACACAGTGAAGGCCTTCTTCATGTTGTCTGCATTATCACTAATAATATACTCTAATTTATCTTTAATGTTAAAATCATCACAGATTGACTCAAATTGCTCACTTATTCTTTCAGCGGTGTGTGGGCCTTTGAAATGGTTGCAAGCCAATAAACTGGAGTTAAGTTTGATCTTCTCATCAGTTGTCTGAATAAAGTGTGCAGTTACACCAAGAAACCCTCTCATTTTTCTATCGGACCAAATATCCACTGTGCCAGACACATTTTGTGTGTTCCTTAACACAGTTTTTAGCTTATTGCATCGCTCCTCAGCAAGGTTTTCTACTTTTGAGGTCATTGTTCTCCAACACACTGGAGCATACTTATGGTCAACCACTGAGAGAAAGTGCCGGAAACTCTTGTTTTCCACAATGGACAGAGGTAGGTTGCAATCAATAACTAAATCAGACTTAGTTATAGTAGTTATAGCTCTTTGTTGTTGGTGACTGGCACTGTACTGCCCAACATGGGTTTCCATGACTGAAGGTTGTGAAGGTTGCTGTGGATCATTTGGGGTGTTTTTGTTCATCTGATATTCTTCAAACCTGTCATGATAAAGATAATACAAAGCAGAGATTATATAAAAAAGGGTTGGTCGGATCGATCCTAAAGTATCGATACTTTCGATACTGATGTTGTATCGAATGGATCGATCCTCACATAAAAATATCAATTCTAAAGTGCATTTTTAACCACTAATTTTATTTATCAAGAAATTCGGTCCATAACATATGCTTCTAAGTGGAAAAAATAGACTATACTAGTGAACAATGGTGTTGGATAGAACTATTTCTCCTGCTCATCAGAACACACGGAAATGCTGAAAGACAGAACCAATCAATCACAGACTGATTATTAAACTGAAAATTTAAACTGGTTGTTAAAAGTTAAAATGGATTGTGTTATGTTCTGTAATTGCTGTTAATAAATCTGTCAGAAAAAAATATGCTAAAGTTTCACCTTTAGGAGTACAACAGCCTGGCAGCCTTTTACAAAAATCGACCATGGTTTTATTACAGTAACCACAGTTTACCACAGTATTTGTAGTAAACTGCAGTACCCACAAATTTACCATGGTAATAATAATAATAATAATA